TGTACTGCCCATCGCGGCAGAAGCGCCACTTCAAACAAGCTAGCAGCCCAACAATCATGGCAATCAATAAAATAATATAACTCGGAAACGAATAAATTAGTTTTAAATTAAATCTTTAGAAACAAAAAGCGCTGGTTGATGTGAGTGAGCTTGCTCCTGATTTTTAGCTTCCACCACAATCCAATGTGTGTGGGAAATAAAAAATATTTTTCATTACAAAGCAGTAATACATACATACATATTAAAGCACTGCAAATATACCAGCAGAAATGCTCTTCACATGTGTACATGAGTAAATGGAACATATATTTTAGAACATTTAAAAAGATAGGAACAAAAAAAGGGAACAGCATAAATTTGAGGAACTGAGCAATGTTACTCAACAGCGCTCTGCTACATAAAACACTGTTCCGCTTTTCCAGAGTACTTGAGTATGTTGATTGCATTTAGTAGTATTTGAAAACTTCATACCCACTAGAACTTGAAGGGAGATCTACCTATGTGAGGAATAAAGGAGTACCCTCCTTGGCCTGATTTCGGAGCAATAAGAGAGGTTTGTCGGTTTTGTACTCCTATATTACTCGCTTAGAAGTCTAATGGGAGATCTCCTAAGCGAGCAACTAAAAAAATACTGTTTGAACCTCTAAAACTACTGTACAAGAAGAAGAATGACAACAAGAAAATATTAAGGACAGATATGGAAGGGAATACACCGACTGCAAAAACAAAGGGGGTAAAAATCACGGACATCTACCTGCCGTCAAAAACGAGCCAAAACAATTCATCTACCTATTGAGTACCGCAAACACTGCAAAACTAAAAAGACGTACCTAACAAAAGAAAGAGGTAGTTAACAAGGAGTATAAATACGAGCAACCAACAAAAATTATGCAGAACGAAAAATGACACTGAGGATGGCACAACGCCGAAACCGGTTTGTCTCCAAACCAAATTTGACAAGGGATGACGGAAATTCGTTCCATAATACATCATACACCCACCCTGTCGGAAACAACAACAACCAAAAAGGAAATAAAAAATGCTCCCTGAGGCATGATTTAGGAACAATAAACGATATTTGTCAATTTTGTACTCCTATATTACTCGCTTAGGAGTCTAATGGGAGATCTCCTAAGCGAGCAACTAAAACATGCTCCCTGAGGCATGATTAGGGAGGAATCAGCGATACTTTTCGTTTTTGTACTCCCGTATTACTCGCTTAGGAACAAAAAGCGATGTCTCGTAAAAAGAGAAATCCACGAGGGTTCCTTTTACATGATTTTGGAGCAATAGGTACTGAAATTTAGAGAAAGTTGTGTGCTTTTGGAATAACTTATCATAAAAGAAAAACAATATAAAACAAAAAATTTACAGAAATCCATACATTTCCTTGGTGAAAAAAATAAAAATGGCAAGTCAAAGCGAATTTAAATTAACGGCTATCGGTATGTATTACTTTCGTTTAAATTTATTATATACTAATTACTGACTACAATGATTTTGTAGATTCCGATAAATTTTTATCAAAAAGACATTTAAGACGCCTTGCGAAAAAGGAGCTACAAAATTTAATTGTGAGTAACGATTTAATTGCAGACGCGAAAGAAAATTATGCATATAGTAATGTTGATGTAAACGAAGAAAGCGAAAGCCCTAATTGCTCGAAATATGATGGCGACGAACAGCCATCGCTTACTAAAAAATTGGCAATATGGGCAATAAAAAATCATGTCCCGAGGACAATGTGCGTGTGAAAAAAGAAAATATGCCTGTACCTTCAACGAAAAAAAACACTGCTACAAAGTTATCAAGCAAAAGAAATCATTGTAGATCCATTACCACCCGGTGAATATTTCCATTTTGGGTTAGAAAAATCGTTACGGGCTCAAGTCGAAAATATGGATATAGAAGGCGAAAGATTATTATAAGATATATTTTGGGATGGGTTGCGAATTTTTGAAAGTTCCTGCCAAACGCTATGGCCAATTTTGGGAGCAATTTCAAATTGTAATAAACCATCGCCGTTTTTAATAGACACGTATATTGGACTCTCCAAGCCCCCAGATGTTGTGAAGTACTTGGAGAGGTTTGTTAGTGAATATATCTCTGTTAAAACCAACGGCATGCTTTGTTCTAAAAGATGGTTCAAACCGGAAATTAGAGCTATTGTTTGCGATGCGCCAGCTAGAGCTTTTTTAACAGGAACCGTTGGACATACATGCTCATATGATTGCTCAAAATGTCAGCAAAAAGCTGTAAGGAAAAATAGACGACTTTCTTATAGCTTAACTACTGGGGAAATGAGGACCGACGAAAGTTTTGCTTTTCGAACATCAACCAATTATCACGTACCGAAATTTCTAGAATATCCACATCCACTAGAAAAGTGTGGTGTAAAGATGGTGACACAATTTCCCTTAGATGTTATGCATTTATTTGATTTAGGGGTCCTCAAAAAAAATTGCATATTATTATGGCAAGGGAAATGTTTGGACAAAAAAAAAAGAAATTGGTTGGAAAAGATTTTAAAAACGAAAGGATGAAAATTATTCGCAAATGCCCAACAAAGGAGTTTGGCCGAAAATGTGGATCCTTCGAAGAATTGCCTCGTTGGAAAGCCACGGAGTTTCGCCAAGAGGTGTTATACACGGGTTTCGTTATTTTTAAAGATGCGATTGATCAAGAACTTTACCAGCATTTCTTGCTATGGTGGCATATCGCTTCATATCTTGCCCAAAAGAGTGTCAAAGTAACCTGAATTGCGTTCAACAGCTTTTAGAAGCGTACATTGAAGAATTCGCAAAACTTTTTGGTGCTGATAGAATAAGTTACAACGTTCACAATCTCTTACACATATCTCAATGCGTACAAAATTTTGGCAATGTGGACAGCTGTTAGTCATATAAATTTGAGAATTACCTACAAACTTTAAAAAGGGATTGTCGAAAATCGTATAAAGTAGCTCAGCAACTAAACAACTGCGTAATTGAAAGGAGTTCTATTCCCCAAGCGAAAAAATATTTCCTCCAATGGGCAGTATGAGTAATTCTAATATTTATTTATACTAAGTGCGAGTGTGGTGATTTTTTCCTAAGCAATAAACCGGCGGGCTGTTATTGTTTTTCGCAAAAATCGGATGTGTTGAAAATAACTGGATTTGCAAAAAAAAAGATGAACAGCCGATTGTAGTTGGTAAATTATTTAGCGACACAACAAGTTCCTTTCAATATCCCGTCGATTCAAAGAGCGTATTGGGTATAGTCAAAGCGAGGACTTGAAGCGAAATTATTACAAAAATTGAAGTAAAAAACATTTACTGCAAGTTGGTTCCCCTCGCTGAAGAAACACTTATCCACTTTGTTCCAATACTTCACAATTGCCATTGAAAACTTTTGCTTTAAGAAAACTTTGATTTCACAGAATAAGCTATCAATAAAAAGTAATAAGAGAAAAATAACTAAATATTCAACGCATCAATTCGGGAAGAAATTAAAGTAATGGAAAATAACCGCGAATTCCAATTCAAATCTATTGGTTTGTATATAAACAGCATAATTATTTTTGTATACGAATTTATTTGACTAATATATCTGCTTTTAGATTGCGCTAGCATCTCTTGGTTGTCCGGGCATATAGGATCCATTTTTACAAACGGAAGCGGTATGTTAAATAATTGGTACTTACGCATACATATGTATGTACAT